GGGGAGTTCGTCATCGTATCAACAGTTAACAAATATAGACAATAAGTATAAAATTTGTATCTTAAAATGTAATAATAAAATGCTAAGTCTAATTAAATAATTGAAATTATTAGTGTTTTAACTATTACTCTACTACAATTCACTAACAAATTTAGAATTATTTACACATCTTGCAAATTTTAGTTTAATTTTCCGCAAGCATTGTAATTGTTTTTTAGTATCAGCATCAAATTTCGGCAAATCTTCAGGATCAATTTTTCCTAACTGTGTGGGAAACAAGGCGAGATGTGTTCCATCAGGCATTGGTATATTAACATTGGCCAATTCTTCGCCAACAACACTATAAACAGATATTGTTTTATAATACTCGCCAAAATGTGAAATAATTATTACTAACTTTAGTTCAATTCAGGGATAGATATTAATTAAAAGTAGTGTTCGACGTGTAATTAAATTCTGCTTTGTGAATATATTTTTGGTGTAAAATTGAGATTTGATAGCATAAAAAACAATCAGCCTCATTATTACTAATTGAAGCCCGGAGTTATTCATGAAAAAAATGCATATGAAAAAGTTATTGTTTTAACCCCCTAGATTCTACTATCAATATAAAACATATATAAAGTAATGCACATACTTGGACACCAGGAGTGGACTTCCGGCCAAGGACATAGCCATTTCCCCTTGGACAGGCCTTCTCATAAGCATTAAAGTTTGATTTTTAGCAACCTGAGAATAAAATAAGAAAAATATATCTACAAATAAAAAGAAATTTCATAACAAATTTTATTTATTATAGAATCATTACCTTGGGGGTGATCATTCCATAATTTGATTTATTTATAGTTTTGTTCCTCATGGGTGTTTTGAATCGACTTTTTGATAATATACTTTTTGGACCCATTCTGCTTGGTGTGAGAACAGTTATATTAACTTGTTTTTTAGTAATACCACCGATCTTGGCAATCTTATGTCTCGATGCTTCTGTAAGATAACCTTAAATAGCAATTTATAAGTAAGTGATCAAGATATGATAAAAAACAAATGCTCAGATACACATAAGTGTTTGATAACATTTTGGAATAGCAATATCTGTTGAACATACCTTCATCTTCGGAAGACATTTTCCTTTTCTTATCGTTCTGTGACATATCAATCTTTGATTGTTCTGCAACCTCGGCTTCCTTTATCTAATAAAAAATATAACAATTTGTAAATAAACATGAAACAAATTAGTGATTCCATAGAAGAAATGTAATTGCAAAATGTTAATAGGCCCAGAATAAAGATGTTAAACACAATTTTAAAATGAAAGTAAATATACTTACTAATTGTGTTAACGGTTTTGATGAAGCCTGCGCCAGTTGCATATTAAGCAGGCTTATGGCTTTAAACAGTAGCTTATCAGCATTGCTATTTACTTCTTTCAATTTCATCGCAACTGCAATTTTTTTGAAACAAAAATCATAGAAAATATATAAATAAAATAATCAATATTGCACAGTGGAGCAAAAAAACCGTAATTGTACAATAACTTAAGGACTATGTGTAACTACATTTTGTGAATATTATATGTCTATTATACTTTGAAGTAACATTAAATGTTTCAGAGTGTTACAGAGAAATAATCACAGTTATAATAAACTTCCAACATAAGTGAAAAATAATTACATTTTACTTAAGTTTAATTCATTTGATTGCACAATTCGCAATTCTTTAATCTAAAATAATTCAAATTGCTTAAAAATAAATATATACCTTCCTGTTTGAACATTTCGTATTCGTTGACGACCATTTTTAACAAATAATATTAACACTTGGATAAAACAAATAGTTTGGCTTTTAAAAACTTTTACACGAAGATTAATAAAACAAGTGATAACGCAAATCTCAATTTGGGTATCAAACTATTAAAAGTGATTTTTATCTGTTAGGAATAAGATTTAATAATAAAACGAATCACACCGGTAAAATAAAAGCTCGTTAAAATCATAAAAGTGACAGATGCAGCAAAGCGGCTGCCATTAGATCGAAACAATTGCTAGTTCGCTCTTAACTCGACAGTGGCGCTCGCGTTTGTTTTTAACGGTTATAAGTTTGAAATAATATTTTAAATTCAATAAAAAATAAAACGAAATCAAATCAAAGAATTTACTTATTTTTAACAATAATATGCGATAAACATAAGTACAAAATAGATTCAAATTATATTATAAATCAAATCTCTAAAAATATTGCAAATATCTAAAAAATGTCACAATTACCTATCCTCATTATGTAAAAAGTTCTTATAAATTTGTGGAACTGAATAAGGACCGAAACATTACGGACGATCATATTTTTTCAAGAAAATGGGAATTATCTTTAAGATAATATTTATTTAAAAAACTTAGACAAATAATCTGCATAATGTAATCACTTAACTATTTAAGTTAAATTTATGAATACTACTACAACCATGTAATAAAAATTTCCTAAAATATTTAAAAGAAAATCTCGAAAATGAATATGTGAGCTAAATATAAGTGATACAATAGTTCTTATTTAAATTGCCACTCACAATTAGAAACTTTATTTCATAGCATATATAAACAATATTATAAAAAATATAATTGATTTCACAGAAATTAATTATTGTTCAACAATCTAAATAATGAGAACATACATAAAATTCATACTGAAACAAACAACATATCAATTAGAAAGTATCTTAAAATAAAATGCAAAATGTAATAGTTATTCTAAATTATTCAGCATCTTCAAATTGTCCATCTGTTGAAAGAAAAACAAGATTTGATAATATATTAAAAATAATTATTTGAGAAATTGAGAAAATGTGATTATAAAAAACATTTTATACCATCATCAAGATCATCCGGATCATGTATGGATAATCGTTCTATATCACCTCCTCCGTTCTCATGCCATTCCTCAAAATCACTATCTCCACCACTATCATCTGTGAAAATATAATGAATCATGCCAGAAAACTCTTTTGTTATTGAAAGCTAAGCAATAAATATTGCTATTAAACTATGAGCTCCTTAAAAACAATATTAATTTTAATAGTAATATAAATAGTAATTTTAATAGTAATAGATAGTGATTTATTTACCCACCTTTGTTCTCTTCATCAGGATTCATAACTTGACATTCATTCATAATTTGATATATTTGATTCAGATTATCTTTATTTTCAGGCAACAGCCACATCTCAGTCATGATAGGCTCGTCGTCTTCTGATTCACCATTTTCATTATTTTCGTTTGTCGCATTTTCCCAAGAAAATAGAAAATCGACTTGCAGATATATTGCTGAATCAGGTGTAGATGTTATCGCATGCATAATCACATTTTTCCATGGAATAGAGAAACCTCGATTCTGAGTTGTATTGAACCAGCATAATGTTCTAAAGGAAACAAATGCTTAATAAACTCATGTGTTTGTAGAAATTGTATTAATTGGAATGGAAGCAATTAAAAACATGTGTCCTCTACACAAGAGTTAGGGATTCAAATTAGCCTTAAAGGTTTTGGTTTTGATATTTCATGCTAATTAATATTTCACTTACGTTTCTGTTAGATAGACAGTCCCACATCCAACAGGGGCATGGTTCACCCTTAACGTCGTGTTCTCTTCATTGTACATAATTCCGCTCGTAGGGGGGCTGTCAGAGAAATAAACGACCATTCTAAAAGCAAAACAATGAGCAATGAAACGACATGAAAAACTGTTGTGAATAATATATCTTACTTTTTCTGCTGACGTAAAAAATCAATTAATCGATATAATTAATAAAATATTTGCTATGCAAAATACTGTCAATCCCGGCTTAACCTAAAATGCAAAACGTAGATTTTTATTTAAGCGGCGTTTAGTATTGCCATATCGGTTGAAAATTATCTTTTAAGTTGTCAAAAAAACCGTTAAATTTAAAAATGAATTTTGAAAGCAATATTGGATTTTGTTTTAAGAATATTTCAATAATTAATATATATATACGGGAGTAAAAAACTAAAATTTATAGGATAATAATCAATAGATTTAAATTTTTACCTGTACGTTTTGTATATAGATAAGCAGATTTTTTTTTAAATCATTCAAATCGGATGCTTAGTTCCCTCAAAAACTGCCATTGCATATTTAGCTGTGTATCTCCGAAATGGCTGGACCCGTCTTTGCCAAATTGTAATAACCACTTATCCCCATCATTACAAATCGAATGTTTTTTGGATCATTCAAATCGGTTGATCCGTTTTCTTAAAAACTGTCATTTTTAGCACTTTTTGCTCCATATCGCTGGACCTGCCTTTGCCAAAAACTAATCACCAATCTCCCTGTCAACAGAAATCGATTGCTTTTTAAATTTTTCAAATCGGCTCATCCATACGCCCGAAATCGTCGACGGAAAATTGTCTCCATACATACACACACACACATCCGTTTTATATGAAGTATGCCAAAATGTTCAGAAACCTCTGAAACGTGAAGACATGCAAAAAAAAAATTTGATTTTTGGCCCATTGCTATAACTTACCCTATGGGAAGTTAATAATAATGATAAATTTAGCAAATACTATAAAACATGAAAAAATATTTTAAGCCAATATACTAAAAACACAAATGAAAATTGTAGTAGTAACGTAGTAAGATGAGCTAAAGATGATATATAACTATGCATCACTAACAATATTATAAAAAAGCACCACAATATTTTTAGTAATTTTAAATTTCAAAGTATGCTTTGGCCAAAAACCCAAAACCAGAAATCTCCTCATTAACCTCACATATATTATATTTAATTCACTATTACACAACTCACTACTAATATAAACTCAGTCAACTTACTAAGTCATTTAAAATCATATTATTTTTATTTCTTATATAATGACAAATATATACAGTTCAGGTACGTGAACTAAAAAAACATATTCAAGGAACATTTTATTAATGACTATATGATAACCAAATCATTGGTAATCACAGATGAAACTAGCTTTAAATGCACCAAATTTAATGGTGATCGCTCTTCAAAAACTCTTCATACTCTTTCTCACTCATCAATTTATTCACCTCTTCAGGCTTCGTCAGATTTACTTTGAATAACCAACCTGTAACAAAAACAGTACATTAATTATTACAAAATATTTATATATATATATATATATATATAAACTAAAATTCAAATAATTTATTAGTTACAATTCATTTACTAGTTATTCTATTTACCCTGATCATAGCATGATGTGTTAATCAAAGCTGGTGAATTTTCTACAGCTGAGTTTTTTTCAGTAACTTTGCCCGAAACAGGAGAATATAATTCTGATGCTGCCTTTACACTTTCTAATGCTCCGCATTCATCCTTTTGAGAAAGATCTGTACCTGCATCAGGGAGCTGGGCATAAACAACATCTCCGAGGGCTTCCTGAAATAAAAATAGTACCATCTCATATGATAGCAAAACAGTTCTACTTCAATCCTGTGTGAACTTACGCGCACTCTTTTTTATTTATTAAACTGACCTGAGCATATTTTGAGATTCCTACAGTCCCTACATTGCCTTCGACAACAACCCATTCATGTTTATCTGTGTACTTACGTTCTGAAAAGAAAAGGAAAAATTAGATTACATATGGTGATATATATATATATATATATATATAT